GGGTAGAAATCAGGGCAAATCACTTAACCTCCCCATTTGTACAATGCGGGTAACAATACGGTCCTTTTAAGGTTCTTGTGGGCTAGGCGCAGTGGCTCATGCCTGTAATCCCAGAACTTTGGGAGAACAAGGCAGGTGGATTGCCTGAGTTAGGTGTTCAAAACCAGCCTGGGCAACATGGCAAAACCAGCCTGTTTCTACAAAAAATAATTTAAAAATTAGCTGGCTGTGGTGACATGCGTCTGTAGTCCCAGCTACTTGGGAGGCAGAGATGGAAGGAATGCTTGAGTCTGGGAGGTGGAGGTTGCAGTGAAGCAGAGATGAGGCCAGGACACTCCAGTATGGGTGACAGAGTGAGACCCTGTCTCAAAAAAAAAAAGTCATTGTGAAGATTAAATGAATTAACGTATGTAAAGCACCAAGAATGTGGCCTGGATTGTTGAAAGTGATCAATGATTGCCAGTGATTATTATTATCTTAACATAATCAGCAATAACATGTTATTATTTTGAATATTATGTTACAAAAATACAAGTTTAAATCTGAACTTGTCCTATTCATAGGTGTACTATGTGGTTTTGTAGGTTCTGTGAATAAAGGAATTTGCCAAAATATCCTTCTCCAAAACATCTTACAAATATATTAAACCATTACAATACCTGAGAATCTGCCAGCAGAATTAGTTAAGGCTTTGGGGATTTTAGGAGTTTCTTTATAAAATACTAATGTAGGCCAGGCGCGGTGGCTCAAGCCTGTAATCCCAGCACTTTGGGAGGCCGAGGCGGGTGGATCACGAGGTCAAGAGATCGAGACCATCCTGGTCAACATGGTGAAATGCTGTCTCTACTAAAAATACAAAAAATTAGCTGGGCATGGCAGCGCGTGCCTGTAATCCCAGCTACTCAGGAGGCTGAGGCAGGAGAATTGCCTGAACCCAGGAGGCAGAGGTTGCGGTGAGCCAAGATCCCGCCATTGCACTCCAGCCTGGGTAACAAGAGTGAAAGTCCGTCTCAAAAAAAATAAATAAATAAAATAAAATAAAATAAAATACTAATGCTTTAGGAAGAGAATTCTCTCTTCCATTTTTTACCCATAAGCACCTTGTCATGAATTAGTTGACCACACCAGGCATGGGAGATAAGGACTGAGCCAAGAAAACACAACATTGGACAGGTGAGAAAGAAGGTTCTAGCTTAGAGTATTATCTGGGGAACAGAGGGAGGTCTTCAGGGCCCTTTGGAAACTAGGGATGATTTTAGTCTTAAGAAGGGAAAAGAGAAGCTAGCTGAACAGGAGAGGAGCCTGGAGGAGACACAGCTGTTTACTTCACAGCATTGTTTAGGGCCAATTGTATTAATAAAAAGAGTTGCTGAAATGGCTTAAAGAGAGCTGCAGTTGGGCCGGGTGCGGTGGCTCAAGCCTGTAATCCCAGCACTTTGGGAGGCCGAGGCGGGTGGATCACGAGGTCAAGAGATCGAGACCATCCTGGTCAACATGGTGAAACCCCGTCTCTACTAAAAATACAAAACATTAGCTGGGCATGGTGGCATGTGCCTGTAATCCCAGCTACTTAGGAGACTGAGGCAGGAGAATTGCCTGAGCCCAGGAGGCGGAGGTTGCGGTGAGCCGAGATCGCAGCGTTGCACTCCAGCCTGGGTAACAAGAGCGAAACTCCGTCTCAAAAAAAAAAAAAAAAAAAAAAAGAGAGCTGCAGTCAAGTCTGGATGATTTGTTTCTTTGTTTTCTTTGAAACAGTCATGCTCTGTCACCCAGGCTGAAATGCAGTGGCACGATCTAGGCTCACTGCAACCTCCGCCTCCCAGGATCAAATGATTCTCCTGCCTCAACCTCTCAAGTAGCTGAGACTACAGGTGGGTGCCACCACGCCGAGCTAACTTTTGTATTTTTAGTAGAGACAGGGTTTCACCATGTTGGCCAGGTTGGTCTTGAATTCCAGACCTCAAGTGATCTGTCTGTCTCAGTCCCCCAAAGTGCTGGGATTACAGGCGTGAGTCACCACACCTGGCCAAGTCTGGATGACTTGGCTCACCCTGTCTAAAAAAGTTTAAGGTTATAAGCCCTAGAACATTTTACATTAAAATAATTACTGACATGAATATAGAAGAGAAAACCCATATATAGTTCCACTTTTTGTTTGAAGTTAAAGCTGACAGCAGTCAGAATGCATGACCCTCTTGGGCTGCTGATTTCAAGCTTGCAACTGTTTCCTAGTAATGTGTGTGTGGCGGGGGGAGGGGGTGCTGTGCCAAGTCATTGATGGCTATTGCTGGTAGGGTTTCTCCCTAGAGAGGAAATAGCTCATTGGAGCTTTAGTGCAGAAACCAACACAGGTAGGCAAAATGTTTTTATAATTGCCACTAGGAAAAAGAGAGGGCCCAGGGAGTACTCTTCTGCTCAAGGGAACCTCTCCCTGGTTATAACCTAATTTGTTGTGTGTATGTGGACCAGATGGGTGGAATTAATCCTTTCAAGGTTATATGGTTAGATTGTTTTCAAATCAGCGGAGATTCCAAGAAATGTAAGAAATCCTCTTTCTCTTTCAAACGACCATTCTCTTGTGGTTCAAAAGTGGGTTTTAAAAACAGAAACAATAATGTATGGGTGGAGTTTGTTTCCCTCTTTTCTCTGTAGGGGTGTTGAAATTGTTGGCTTCATGTTTGTGTTTTGATAAAGATGGCTCTAAGGTAGCAAGATAGGGGACTAGAAGCTAAGTAGTCATTGAAGAAGTTCCTTGTTTTCTACAGACCGGTCTACCCTGGATAACTGGCTGTTCCAACCTTCCTGTTAAAGTCATTCAGAGCGTTCAAACACCTCTCTGACCATGTTGCAGTAAACTAAGCTATGGAAAACTTCCTAAGTGGTTAAAAGGAGGCAGGGCAAAAAAGTTGTAGTATAGGCAAGAGGAAGGTACAACTAACTTAAATGAAATTTGAAATACAAGAAATAAACGTTAAGCGTCATCTGAAATTGTTCCCTGAAGAAGTCAGCCCAAACAGTTTCTTATCTATTATAGGAGCTGAATTATCTTGAAACTGAATGTGATATTTTGGTCAGAAAGTTAAGAAGATTACCACTCTCCTACACCCTTGGCACAAAACCAGGGGTATCTATACCTGGAACATAATGTGTTGTACTGTTTGCTGAGCTTCAAGAAAGTCTAACGAGGTTGTAGGCAATTAATAGGAGGACATCTGAAAGACTGAGGAGATTAGGTTCTCCCTACTCCTTCCTTGAGGAGATACTGAAATGGCAGAACTTTGCAGTGAACACCAAATGGGAGGTGGTGATCAGCAAGCCAAGGAGATAGGCCTAAGAAGAAACCAGACCTGTGTACACTTTGCTCTCTGACTTTGGCCTTCAGAACTTTGAGAAAATAAGTTTCTGCTGTTTAAGCCACCCAGTTTACAAGTTCTTTGTTATGGCAGCCCTGACCAACACACATGAGAACAGATATGATCAAATAATTTAAAATTATGAAGGGACTAGAAAAGAATGTGATCATCTCAGAATACCTCTAGGTTAAGTTTTCTTAAAGCAAGGTCTGCATACTACCTGCATCAGAATCACCTATGATACTTTTTAAAAAGCAGGTTCCCAGGTCCACTGGACCTAGAGTATTAAAATGTTCTAGTATGATACCTAAGAATCTGTTTCTTTGGTAGACCCCACAAGTGCTGTTTTTGTATACTAAAGAGCCAGAGGTCCTGCCTAACCTCTGGCTCTTTTCTGAGCCTGAAAACGAATTCTGGGCCTGGTACTAAATTACATTTCATCAGGTGCTGCTGTGTCTGGTCCTCTGGCAGATGGTCCCTGATCCAGAAATCATGTTTAAATCCCATTGTAGGTTATCTCTCTCCAGGTGTCAGCCAACGTTTACTGAGCATGTGAGAAAGCCGAATGGGATGGACCAAATGGAATCCTTAGAGTTTATTCTTGATTCTGGAAATAAGTATGTGCCTCACCTATGTTACTTAAGAATATAATTACATATTTTGAACAATATTCTAAAGTACATATATTATCACTCTCATGAGATTTATTTAACGATCTTACTACCCATGTCAATTAAGAGAGAATGCAAGGAATAGAATGGGGCATATCTTTCCTTCACCTGTGGACCTAAGAGGAACTGAAATTAGAGAAAGCTGAGAGTTCAGAGCAAACTCTGTGATGAATATTTTCAAAGTAGGCAGAATAGGTGGCATTCTGATTCAAATATGCCAGTTCCCTAGGGAGTGTAAAATCTGCTGTACCCTTATCCCCTCCATTTACAAATGAGATTAAGTGACATAAGGTTTTATATACAGGGTTTTTAAAAACTAAAATTTAGGTAGATCATTTAAGAACGTTCAAGTCGGTAGGTCAATGAACTATTTCTCTATTTTCCTTCAGGTGGTCCAGCCTTTGAGTCAGAATGCAGTGACAGGGACCTGTCTAGGAGTTCTCATGGCCACCGTTTTTTTTTTTTGTTTGTTTTGTTTTCATTTGTGTGTGTGTGTATGTGGGGGGGTGAATATTTACTTAATGCCAGGCACTCGGCTATTTTTTCCTTTTTGACTAACCAGATTTCAGTTTCTCTGTGTAGACCATTCATTCCCACTCAATTTCTCGGACGGGTGGTGGGGGGAGGGGCGACAAATGGGAAAGTGGAATTGCCATTCATGTTCCAACTGCTTTCCTGAAACAAGTCTTTTGACACTAAAAAGAATGAATTTAAAACACTAGACAATAATACTCTGCAGAGGTTAAGAAGAAAAGCCATTAGCGCAACTGTGTTTCATTAAGAATGAAAAGAGGACATTCAGTCTTCCAGGAGACAGGTTCCCAGTTTGGGCAAAGAGAGCCCTAACAATGAGAGGCGGCCGTGTGGGCTGGAACGGGGCTCCCGACTGCTCCGAGGCACTCCCGGGGCGTGAGGGGGGGTGTTCGATCCCAGACCTTTCCGAGCGGCCCTTTCCCTCGGTATGTTCGGTACTCACCGAGGTCCTGGCCGAGCGTCCAGCTAGCCCCGAGGGGCCCGACTGGCAGGCGAAGGGGTCTGAGGCGAGGGCCAGGCGGGGCGCGCGGGCCGGGCGGCAGCGACCGCGCTTTCCTTAGAGGGCGCTGTGGGGGCGGCTCCGCCGCAGTCCCGACTCCCGCCGCTTCCTCCCGCCGCCCCTCCCCGCCAGCCTGGGCGAACGCGGCCGGGCCCTTGGGGACCGAGTCTCGGCGCCGCTGGGGACCGGGCACGAGCCGTGCCACAGCCGGAACGGGGCTAGGGCCGCGCCGCCACCTTACTCCGCCGGCCTCGCCGCCGGCCATGCATTCTTCCGGCTCCTCAGGCTCCCAAAGCCCGGGCCGGGGCCCGGCCAGCCCGAGGTAACCCCCGGCTCAGCGGTTGCAGGCCCGGGAGCGGCAGCGGAACCGGGCCTGGGGAGGCGCTGGGGGCGGGGAAGGGGTGTCGTCGTCGCGTGGCCCGGGGAGGCGGTGGCGGCCTGAGGGACGAGGGCGCGGTAGGCCCCGGGGAGGAGGTGGGGGCGCGGGGCATCCGCCCGCCTCCCCGGGACCCGCCCCGGTGACAGGTCCGGCCTCTTGAGTCTCCGCCGTCCCTCTGTCCGCAGGCAGCCGCGAGGGGAGTAGGGCGCCCGCGCGCCCGCTCGCGCCGCGCCTCGGGCCGCCTGGGCCGCCGCCGCGTCCATGACCGCGACCCCTCGGCGGGGCACACCCGCCCCCGCGCTCCGCAGCCGCCCGCCGTCCGCGCCCGCCGAGGTGAGCCCGGCGCGCGGGCCGTGCCCGCCGCCACGACCCCTCCACATCCGCAGAAACCGCTGCCGGCTCTACCGGTCCCCCGCGCTGCGGTGGCCTCCTCTTCGCTGCTGCTTTCATCATCCCCCGCTTCCCTGCCCTCTGGTCGGAGATCTCATTCTCTTCGTCCCCGGTTCCTTGGCTTTTCCCTCTTTTTGCCTTTTGCTCCCCTCCCCCTTCTCCTGTCCTTCCTCTTTTTCGCTGTATAACCCCCTACTTTCTTCCTCTCACCTTTTAAGCTTTTTTTTTTTTTTCTGGGCCCCCTATTTTTTTTTTTCTTAAAAAAAAAAAAAGGAAAACAAAAACCCTATTGCTGCAAATGAGAATTTGGAGGGTAACTCTTCGCTAGCGCCAGAGACCTTTTAAAGCGATGCATCCGTTTGCAGGAATGGTGGTGGCGAGGGGACCGGGGTCCTCAGTATCTGGGAAATCTGATCGAGAGGACCCTGTTTCGGTTGTGTCACTCGTGTCTTCAGTTTGGAGATCCTGAGGGTGTCTGAAGCGAGTGGATCTATTTTTCTAAGTCCACATTGACGACTGCAGTGAGACGCGGTGCGGGGACGGCCACCGGTTACTGAATGGGAATTGTGTTACCATTTGCTAAATATATTGTGACATACCCAGTGCCTTGGTTAACAGCTCCCTTGACCTTGTGCGGCTCCTCCTCCCTCGCGCTCTGTCCCCCCTCGGGAATTTCCCCCGAGAGATCACCGAGGTACTACAACACCCAGAAGCTTAGACCCTCGCCCTGTATTTTCTGCTAGGGGCGATTTCCATGTTGGTGACTGTTTAGATGTGTTTAATCCATTTTCCTTTTTAAGTTAATTTTTCTTTTACCCCAGAAAGACAAGACGGACTCCCATGTGAGAATGGCTATGACTTTGGAAGAAGCTCCATGGCTGGGCTGGCTCTTGGTGAAAGCACTGATGAGGTTTGCCTTCATGGTGGCCAACAACCTGGTTGCTATTCCATCATATATCTGCTATGTAATTATTCTTCAGCCCCTTCGCGTGCTGGACAGTAAGCGGTTCTGGTATATCGAAGGAATCATGTATAAATGGCTTTTAGGAATGGTGGCTTCCTGGGGATGGTATGCTGGATATACAGGTAAGAGTGAGAACACTTTTGTTTAATGCATAAGACAAAATTTGTCAGGAGCCGTGATTAAATATACATTACACTTTGGGTTGAGGATGCTTTCATGTCTTCACTATTAAAAAAAAATAAAAATCAAACAATTCTATTGGGTTTCTCTTCAGAATCTCCGTTAGAAAGACTGATGTTTTCAGATGTATAATATAATTATATATTGATAAATTTCTTAGATAATGTTTTTATTGTGGATTGAGATACATTTATTAAAACTGGTCTGCAAAAGCTCTGGTAGAGGAAAAGGAGAGCGTTGTGTAGGACTCGAGAGCTTATAAAGTGAAGATGTAAGATATTTCATCTGTTTCATGGAAGATGCCCGTAAACACTGGAAATTTAGAAAAATGATGCAGCCATATTTGTGCTAAGATAGTTTAATAAGTTTCTTCATTTGATGTGCTGTTGCACTGTTAGCAATTTGAAGAAAGCAAAAATGGCTTTATTTTATGTATGTTTCTTTTGTTTACTAGAATCTATATTTTATCTCATAAATTTGAGAGTGTTAAATATAAAAAATTAAGTTAACTTTGTTAAGCTAATTGATCTTCTGAGTGTCTTTAAATAGATTGCGATTTCCACCTTTGAATTGCATTTTGGGAAGCAAGAGTAACACTATTCTGTAGTGGACTTTTGTAGAACTAAATAAGAAGTGGTGTTTATTTTCTGAGCTAGACCTTATATGCTTTGAGAACTTACGCCCTTGCTGTGAAAATTATGTATCACTTATTGTATTTATTTTATTTTTTCCCCCTAAGAATTAAGATAATTTAAAAAATCATGGAGGTTTTTAGCACAGAAATTTCTACCTGATAGGCAGACTCCTTAGAGGTAATGCAGATGCTGTGGTCAGTAGAGGTGCAGTTCATAGCTTGGCAGAATGAGGAGGGGTACTGTCAGGGTCAGGCAGTATGGCAGTTCTCCATTCGATATTCTGTCTCCCTCTTTCCCGCCCAGGCTGCATCTGCAGATTTTATCCACACACACAAAAGAACGACTGACAGTATACAGCTTTTATGGAGTCTGACAGACTCTCGCTATGTCTGAGTGCTCTCAGTTGCACCAGATGAAGCCTTTTCTCCTTTCAGGCAGTGCCATTTATTATTATGCAAGAGCTGAAGCCCTTGGGATAGTGTTTGCTTTGCTTCCTTGTCATCTGTCTGGTTGAGATTCCAATGCTCTTTGGATATAGTAGGTGAGCTTCTGGCCTTTTTTTAGGACTAGGTGGTAGCCATAGCACTGGTAGAGAAAAAAATGAAGTTCCAGTCTATGGTGCTGAATTCTTAGTTGAATTGCACTGCTGTCTTAGAATTGCTTCGCTTGGTATAGTTTGAGTGTTCTCAAATATATGCTATATGGTACTAGTGGCTTTATTCTTTTATAGTATACTTAAGTTTGCTTGTTTTAAATTAGCTTATAGTATTTTCAGAAACCCGTTCTAGAAGTTCATTCTGTTTAACAATTAAATTACTGAAATGTTTGTGCTGGTGTATGGTATATTTAAGCGTTAGCATGCTGGGAAGGTAAAATTAATTTGGTATTGACCTTGAGATTAGAAGGAGTGCAGTGGTGCTGCTTGATGTCAACATTAGTTATCCTACGGCCATAGCATAACTGCAATGCATTTTTTTTTTTTTTTTGAGACGGAGTTTCACTCTTGTTACCCAGGCTGGAGTGCAGTGGCGTGATCTCGGCTCACCGCAACCCCTGCCTCTTGGGTTCAGGCAATTCTCCTGCCTCAGCCTCCTGAGTAGCTGGGATTATAGGCACATACCACCATGCCCAGCTAATTTTTTTTTGTATTTTTAGTAGAGACGGGGTTTCACCACGTTGACCAGGATGGTCTCGATCTCTTGACCTCATGATCCACCTGCCTCGGCCTCCGAAAGTGCTGGGATTACAGGCTTGAGCCACCGCACTCGGCCACAACTGCAATGTATTTTTAAGCATATTTTCTTGGGGTGTCTCTTCCTTGCTGACTATAAAACTGTAATTGCTTTTGCCACCTGCTTGGAATGTGGTCTTGGCATGATCTGCATATTTTAGTCTCTCTGAAGCATCTGCTTTTCTTCAGGCTACTGCATTTTGACAATTTGATCAGTTTGTCTCATTTAAATATAGACTGTTTTAATGTATATATTTTAAAAGGTTTTCCTGTAGGTAGAATACTTGATTTCAGAGGGCCCGGTCATAGTCTGGTCATAACAGAAAATAGTCAAAAAGTCAAACAAATATAGGAATGAATTTGGTTGAAAGCCTCAACTGAGTTTAAAGAAGTACATCTAAGCAGAGGTTGATGAACAGGTATACTCATAAAATCTCAGTGGTTATATTAGCCTTTCTTTAGATTATATTTCACTTTTTCCCTTTACATCAATAGGAGGGTGGGCTTGTGAAGAATTTTTTTTTTCCCTATGCCCAAGTTTCACAGATGGAAAATTGAATATTGCCAAAGGAATTCTGCTCAGCAGATTAAGTATGTTCATGTTTTAGAATAAAAATTGCCAAAATTTGTTGAAAACCACTTATGAGGAAATCTTAAATACTAATTAGGAAGCTAAAAATCGAATATGGGTATATTGGTATAATATGTATATATATTCCAAACTATGGCATTCATTCTAATATGAGTGAATTATTCAGCTCTGCTGATGGGGACTTACGTTGATTATCCTACACAGCCCCATACAGTAGCCACTAGGCATGTGTCACTATTTAATTAAAATCAAATAAAATTTAGCTCCTCAGTCACGCCAACCACATTTCAAGTGCTCAGTACTAGGTGGCTAGTGGCTACTGTATGGACAAGCAGATACAGAACACTTCTGTCATCACAGCAAGTGCTATTGGACAAAGCTGATGTAGTAAGCATAGTTTTCTTAGGAAAACTAAATTTTATCTTTATTTTAAAAAATCTTTCTTTAGTTCTAAACAGATTACTTTTGTGAAAGACAGGAAGATTTATTAAAGTTTTATTAAACTATCTCTTAACTTGAGGCAAACATCTCAAAAATGAGCCCTTTAAATTCACACATACTTCTTGGATGGGGAATGGTGAGGCCAGTAACCTAATAACTTAAATGAACATTCTTGTACTTTAGTTTGCATTCTCAGAGCTGGGGAACTAGCTGTAGACACAGAAGATGGAAAAGGGATTTTCTGGTCTGTTTCTGACTTTTAAGTTACACATTTTTAAAAGTACTCTGAAGACATTGGGGTTTGTACACCCACAGCTTGCTACTAAAGTAGTAATGATTGTTGTTTTCACATTTTCTTGTTTCTTTTTTTTTTTTTTTTTTTTTTGAGATGGAGTCTCAGTCCATTGTCCAGGCTGGAGTGCAGTGGCACAGTCTCTGCTCACTGCAACCTATGCCTCCGTGGTTCAGGTGATTCTCCTGCCTCAACCTCTCAAGTAGCTGGGACTATAGGCTCATGCCACCACACCCAGCTAATTTTTGTATTTTTAGTAGCGATGGGGGTTTCCCTATGTTGGCCAGGCTGGTCTTGAACTCCTAACCTGGTGATCCGCCCACCTCAGCCTTTCAAAGTGCTGGGATTACAGGCATGAACCACTGCACCCAGTCTATTTTTACATTTTCTTTAATGGGAAGTGCTGTACAGATATGTTGAGGAACCATTTTATATTGCCTTTGTCTTCATATTTCAAGGGCAAACCAAAAGAGAAAAGAGATACCAGCTTAACTAATGATCCACTTCTGCATGCTTTATTTGGATCTAGGATAAGTCAGTATCCCCCCACCCCCACAGTTTAAGTGACGATTGGCAAATTTTAGAGAGAAGTTTCATATCAAACAAAATGTATTCTATTTATTTAAAATACTTTATTTTAATTTACTTATTTTAATAAAGTAATTGTTATCCAAACACATTTAATTAAAGCCTCAGCCAGGCACAGTGGCTTATGCTGGTAATCTCTTGGGAAGCCAAGGTGGGAGAATCACATAAACTAGGAGTTCGAGGTTACAGTGAGCTGTGATCATGCCACTGCACTCCAGTCTGGGTGACAGAGACCCTGTCTGTTGAAAAAAAAAAAAAAAAAAAACACTGTGCATGAATACTTTAAAAATATTTATTGTTAATAGAAACTCCAGAAATTTTATTTTTATATAGGATGAGAGTTGCAGGTCAAAGTCTGACTGGAAGGGACCTGGGTGCCAGGGGACTTGCTGCCAAGCTGTTTTTGTATAGCAAACACTATTTTCCTTAAATTGGGCATGATTTGGGGAGGCTTTAGGGAAAGCTGATGGAGATTAGGTATAGTTACCTCCTGCCCTCCAACTGACAGCTGCCATGTCTTTCTGGGTTATTTGATTATTTGATAGCGTTCTGCTTTTGGGAAAGAATACATTGCGTGAAAAAAATTAATTTTTAGGAATTACTTCTGACTTTGAAATTCTACAGAAAGTTTCAAAAATGTATTTCAAGAGCAATATCTTTTAACCTTTGAGTCATAAAAACATTTAGTATGTGAAGATGAACATTTTAAGAATGTGAAATAAAATAGAATTAAATAGAATATGTCAGAAATGCATGAGTTTGTACTGAATGGTGCTGCACAGTTTATTTTTTACTATGAGTGCAGCCAACATTTGAAAGGCATTGTTCTAGTGGAAAGAGCAATGGGATTTTGGAAAACTCTGGGAGTCAGTGGTCTAGCTTTAACTTTAAATCTGTTCTCACTGGTAGGGGTGAGATCCTTACCTACTCTGTGCCCATTGGCTGGATCTTTATAACCTTAGGGACTAATTTGTTATCTGATGCTCACAGAGTATTCAGTAAGTGTCTAGTTCTTTAATGATCCTTTTTTATTTTATTTTCTTGAGACAGTCTCACTCTGTTGCCCAGCCTGGAGTGCAGTGGTGCACTCTCTGCTCATGGCAACCTCTCTCTCTCAGGTTCATGCAATTTTCATGCCTCAGCCTCCTGAGGCATGAAATTAC